TTTGACATGTCGCTTACGTGTCATTGATGACCGACTAGTATCCCAGGCTCCACCCAACATGTGCCACGCCTTTGAATAAAGTCACTGCGCACAACTACATACTGGCAAGTCGATGAGTTATTTTTCAATATTTGTTTGACACCTACAAGAACAAGATACTCTCTAGCTATATCTACCGTTTTCACTACACTTACAGTGTTTGACTGCTTGCATTGTGCACACTTGAACCCAAAGAACGGTCATGATTACTCATGATTAATCCTTCATATTCCACAACCTGTACAAAGTGTAGGCACTGCCGATTACATACACAACAACGTGTCTGTTGCGAAACATACTTGCCTGCAAATTTTGATCCTGCCTTACTTGGTGTGCGTCGATAAATTCGATAATAACCTATTTATTCATGTTATTTTTTACTTTATTATTTTATCACGAAGCAGATTTGGGATAGCTTGTCGCCCAACTGCAGAACCCTAAATAGCCGCTGCAGGTCAACTATCTCAAAAGGCATGACACGCTTAAGTGCGACCTACCCGAAGCAATCATAGCGATTTTCTGTCTGAGAAATAATGATATCTGACATGCAAAGATATCTCCTTAAGAAGATATAACAAGCGTGCAATACTTAGCGTAATCGGTGGTAATTTCAGGGTTAGAAAATTCAGATTCTCAATGAGCAAACCACAAAAGAGGATCCATGTCCCAAAAGGGCGGGAAGGAGAAATACACAACATTAACTGGAGGGAAGGGCTAATATTTGTCATGGCGGGAAAGGGTTTCATTACCGTTGTACTCGGTAACATCCAAGTTTGTTTGAGTGGCAGCAGAGTATATTCATAATTTTTGTGGTATTAACGTTCAAGAAATAGAAAATAATGCCATATGGATTTGCATCGTGAAAAAATTTATGATAAATTAAAGTGATGACTACAGGCGTAGTTGAAGTTCACGGCATAATGGAAAGCAGGCAAATGCTAAAAAAAGTGTAGTGAAAACGGCTGTGTTATGGAGCAAATAAGTGTTAATACTACTGGTTCATGTATGCAAAGTTTATGCTTGCAATAATTTACTTGCTTGGATAAGAGTCATGCATATCTCTTGTTCGATTAAAGTATTTTGTTATTTTTTAAAATCGCGATGAATGAAAGCGAAATTTACAACTAATATATCTTACCAACTACCATTTTTTGTACATACTTAAGCACAAAGCGACTTATACACATCTCTTTCAAATCCAGTTATGAATGCATCACCATTTAGCCTGGTGTACCGGAACACAAAGTCCCTCCAGGCGGATTTTTCATGTCAAAAATTAGCCACTCTCTTCACTGGAGACACGATCATAATGTCATTAGAGTCTATGGCAGCAAAAGTGGTTACCGAAAGCATAGAGCAATCAGAAAAACAAAAAATAGATGGAACTAGCTCACCGAGGAAAAATGTGAAGTAGAAGGCGTTGAGGCACTTTCGGAGTCTGGGTCACCAGTTTAACGCTATCTCGACTTGAGAATCCAAAAGACAGATCGAGTTGCAGGGAAGCTTTTATTTGCACAGCACAAGGTTACTTGTTAGCCTAGCTATAACCAAACGACACCGTTGCATGCTGCAAGCAGGGGAACGCAAAATACAGGGCACGCGTGTCACAATCAAAATAAGCTCCAAAGAAAATGGCGATGCTCAATTCAAGCAATCGAACTTAGTAACCAGTTCAAAAATCCACATCGGTGTGCAATGGAAACGTAATTTTATTTTGTGAAGATTCGATGCAGTTAGACCCAGGTAGCCAGCCATCAAACATCCAAGAACACGCTAGATATCCGCTTCTTCCTATTGGAACTCGTAAGTAGCGCGCACCCACCGAGTACTGCCCGATTCGAGCACAATACCTTACTCTTGCGAGCCAGCTACTTGATGCCACTGAGCCATGGGCGATGGCAGCGGACCTCCTTAACAGATTACATGCCACCTCGATTGGGGGCGGATTACAAAGAAAGTCGTGGCTCTGGGTGTCAGCCCTGTCCTCCGCACGTTCATAACAAGCATGACAGTGGAGGATAAACCGCGCTATATCGCAGTTGGATACCAGTCATGGCGGTCTGCTGCTATCGCCCATGGCTCAGTGGCACAAGTCGCTGGCTCGCAAGGGCAACATTGTGGGTTCGAATCCGGCAGGATTAAGAGGGTGCGCGCTACTGACGAGTCCAAATAGGACCAACCGGCCGACTATCAATTTCCTGGGTGTGTGGTGGCTGTCTGCCTGAGTCCAACTGCGGCAAAACCACACGTATTATTCAATGAATCCGCTTACTAATTACAAATAATAATTTTTGTTTGAATTTTGCACAGGCAAACTGGGGGTTTGTGGATTGCTACAAGTTAGGAAATCGCTTGACGCGCACTCAACGAACTTCATGTAGCTTCTATCCTTCGGCAGCATTGACAACGAAGACCGAAAAACGTTACCGGATCTCCTGAACCATGATTCAAAGGCTAGGTTGGCATCCGGATCATATTGAAGCTAAAAAAATATTGCTAGAGGCTGCATCCGCTGATGGCTGCCGCTTTGCATTGTTTGATCTTGATTGCACCGCAAAATGCTGAGATATTCTCGAGCAATCATGCCTGGTTTTATTCAAATTGCTTCTGAAATAAGCTTCTCCGTTGTTAATTGTATTTTGGGGTTCTGCAACCAAAATTTTTCCGTCGCCAGTCTTTACGACCACTAACGTCGTCGCTCTGAATGGCCGTCGAGAACGCCTGTCCGCCCTGATCATAAAGTCAAGGTCGCTGATGCGGTGTATTGGTCGCCATATACGAGACAATTACATGGTTCACATTACCGTAATTAATGTGTTCTTGCTGAACTTCTTGGGCCTGCTCTTTCCCCTACTATTTTTTACCGACCAGGAATAGCGTTAGTTTGTCTGAGGACATACTTATAATCAAACAATGTGATTATTCTACTTGATTTCTGGAAAAAGTTTGATTTGGGTCCAAGTATGGTCTATTCATTCATTCGTTAGGTCGTCCTTTTAACAAACAGTGGCTGGATAAACGAGCTGCATCCAAAAATTATTTCAGAATGACTTAAAGAACCCATTATATTCACATTGCAAGCGTTTATAACGATTAGACAGAGCCTAGTTCATTGACGTCCATTGTGATAGAACAAAACTGGGTGCAGACAGATGGGGCACCGATAACTGGCAAGCAGTAAGCGAAGAGAAAGAGCAGTGTACCAGGTGATAAGTGCGACGGCTTGTGGTTCACTGGGTACCCAACTGCGTGATATATGGATATCCTAGCTGAAGGTCTAGTAATTACTTCTCGGTGTAGTAACTTGCAAGAAAAATCATTGAATATGTCAACTACGCTGATACTGCTAGACAGTAATGTCCATATTTGTGCTGTAGTGAAGAGGTTCAAGGGAGCAGACGTTTAATGCCAACCCAAAATAGATCGTCTTGAAGATCATAGAGACGCTCTTAGTTCATGTCTAAGACAGTCCCACGTAAACATCTTCGTCGACACCAGTCCACTGAGAATCCAGGTAGATGCACAACTACCAACCGCGGCATCCAGTTCAACGAAGCACCTTTACTAACTGCCGAAATACAGTTAGCAATGTGAAAAAGCCTACAACGCAGGTTTGAATTCTTTAACCGTAATACCGTGGAGGTACCCAAAATGGACAGCGCTGTGCGTACGACATTGTAAGGCTGTTATCTTGCTGTGTGCCGTGGTTGTTAATATTTTTCCAACTAGAACGTTGCTTAAAACAACGAGCTAAATATTCATTTTGGTGCACCTCTGACGACACCGATTCGGTGCATCGGAATAGATGTATGGCTTGGATCCCATGAAGGTTATGTCGGACTGTTGAAGTAGACTGAGCACCAGTGAGGAATCAGAAAAAGCGAGTACGCGGCAAGTCGCATTGCACTGAAACAATCCACTCAAGTGAAACCTCGAATGATCATGGGTGTTGACCTCGGATCCATGCTAGTCTGTTGATCGATACTCCGCTGATCTGTTTCGATTTGATATGGGTGTCAGCTAGATCTAACCTCAGTCCCAGCTTGTTCTGATATATGGGACAGAGGTCCATTTTGATAGCGGGTTGCAAGCTTCGTCGAGCTGCGCCCAGGGAACGGCGCCTTCTTAGCAACGGGTGACCGACCCGAGCCTGCGTAGGCACGGGTAACCTAGCAGATCTTAACCAGTATGTAGCATATGACGGTTGCATGGCAGTAAAACGCAGATGCATGGTGTTGACGTTCTACTAACCTCCCACACCGTGCAATGCCTAGCGAATGTTCCAGACTATCGAATGCCACATTTGAGCGACCTGCGTATATTGCCTAACTTTGGATAACCAAGAGCCTTCAGACCAGAACAAATATCGCCAACTAAAACGAGTAAGACTGAAAGATACCGGTTATAAGGAACTGTCCATTACTATCAAACAACAGTAGTCGCTTATTCATAAATTTCTCGATGACAGGTTAGAAACTCACAAAATCGGCTAGAAGTACACGCTATTAACAAACGCTTGGATGCGGTGGTTATACAGCACACCCCTATCGGAAAAGATCGGGTTGAATGTGATCAAACCCACAACTAACTCATTCATTATGAGAGTGGCTTGTAAGGTAATAGCATACCAGTGAGCGTGTTGCCCCAAGTTGAATCTGTCAACCACATAATAGAAATGTGCAGGTTGTAAGACAAAACGCGCACGGGGACACAATTAGTGGCCCTGTCACAAGGTCGGTGACGTCATCCATGATACAGCAGCATGTATATGGCCTGAAAATGACTTAATAAAGGGTCCAGATCCCGCGGTAAACTGAGACCATTGTCTGACTCTTTCCTGGATGGTGCGTGGAACACTGGAATCTGACCAATTGGGTAGGGCTATAGCGGGTACCCTAAGGTTGAAAACACAAGCTCTAGCTCTATGACTGTAGAGTTAAGAAAAATGTTGAAAAGAACCGTTTAAGTGAATTCGACGCAGTATTTGTATAAAAATAAGTGGAAATGATGAAAAACATGACGGTATAAAACGCACATATAGTATCAAAAAGTAACAACATATCGAATAAGCCATGGGGATAAGGCACAAAAATCACATGACAGGGCAGAATAAAGGGGGTAAATGTACTCGGACAAAGAAGAGTATTGGAAGACATCGCACAGTTCTCCAGTGCAGAGAGCGACAGTCGTCGAAAACAAAGCGCCGCGGTGGAATCACAACTTGAAAAAGTCAAGTAAACTTCGCTGCTTGTGGTCTGCCTTGGGGAGCTTCATTCTCTTCCCACGATTTGAAAGGTTCGTAGAGATGTTCACGTAGGATGTGCGAGGGCAATTTTTAGTAGTCCCGGAAGAGCCGGCACCTTAGGAAGATGAATATGAAATGGTGAGGAAATGCATGAGACGAAAAAGTTTAGCAAACTCAATGTTTGGACGACTGAGATAGTATCAGGACCAGACGTCTATTTAACAAAGTGGAAACATCAAGGGAGAGAGCTGATTGAAGTCCAACTTTAATGTCTCAGCCAACACTAACATCAGTCAGTTCGAGTCAATGTGTTGCTGTAAAATCCACAAATTTAAGTTACCATATCGCAAAACTCATCTAAGTGGTCGAGTAGATGACTGACAATAAGCAGTGATGCTAAGTAGAAATGAGTTTTGATCAATATCCTATACAACAGGAGCTTTGTAACTGCATGGAGTATCGTGGTTGCCTCAGTAAATGCTATAACGAAGATTGCATAAGTTAACGTGTCACACCGGTAGTATCCGCGTGGCATCGTCGCAGTCGCATCCAGAGAGAGAATGCGAAGCAACATCTCCTGTGTGGACTCATCGGAAGCATACACTTCTCTTGATCCTCTCTAAGTTCGAATGCAAGGCCATTCAACCTGCAGGCGGTGAATTCCGCTGCTGCGCTGTGGGTGACAGCACTATTCAGGTGACTAAATAAGACGACAAAACGTGTTAAATCTTCCACAGTGTTAACAAAGGAATGATTGGGTGGGAAACAGGAAAAAGAATCCAAATACGGTTTACTTATGGGTAATATATGAGTAATATAAAATTCAGTCTCTCCTAGTTTCAAATGCTACCAACATAGCGTCCAGTGAGAGGAAGTTATGACCTGGGAGGCTAGCCACTGTCATCTGAAAAAGGTAGTAACCTGCGTGCCAGTGGAAGATAGGTCGTGCTATATCCCAGTGTTAAGTGCCTGGTTCTCCGAGCCGCGTCAAGAGAAAGAACGCACACAGGCTCTGCACACACGCGTCCTATGCACAAGTGAGGTAATGTACAACTAGCTGTGATTGTAAAAACACCCGCCCACTCGATTGATCGCACTGAGTCAGACGATTCTCTTCGCCCTGGGTTGCAGCCACCATAACATCCTTTCCTCTTTCTTTTTTCGTTGTTTTGGTGTTGCAGGTTCCGTATCGCCTTCCACTGCAGCACAGCTTTCGAACTTGGCTTCCATCTTATTTGGCTTATTCTGCTGATGCGGCTTCTCGTCCGACTGCAGGGTCTGTTCACCACATCGCCTTTTCAGCCGCATTCGATAGTTTCCCCTACTTTTCCCACCTTCAGCTGCTCTTCTCTTCCGACGCCCTTCAGATATCTGTTTAAACCATACTTCGTCTTCAGGCGCCAGAGCATGGGGCGTCTTTCGCCGCCGTGAACGCTTCTGAAGAGGATCTTGCAAATGATTAGTAAAATTTTTAGGGTTGTAAATGTACAATGGCTCCAGAGTCAGATTATAGTTGAACTAGTTGTCCTTGATTCGGCAGTTTTGATTAAGCGCATTCCTCCCCGTCGCGATCCAACTTGTTAGTTACCGAAATCTTTTGCACTTCTTGCCGATTTACACGATTAAGTGATCTGTTGGCCGATCGACAGCAACGAGCGAAATGGTTTAACCAGCCATCAAAATAATCATCAAATCTCTCGAGCGTTTCTAAAAGATCCGGTTCTTGATCATGATCGCAAAATTCCAGGCGTCTAGTATCCGACTCGCATCATGGTCGATGGCATCCTTGAACATGGCTAACTGATATGGCATAGGATATTCATCTAACTCGATCAGTGTCGCGAAGTTCATTCACTTTGCTCTCCACAGGCGCCAGTTTTCAGGCACCAAACTCTCTGTCCTTTGTAATGCATTGCTACAAACGGCTGCCAACCAAAGCAAAGCTGCCGATTGCTTATCGGTTTCTTCTTTCCCTCTGACATCATGTTGCGTGCCTGGTTCTCCCGGCCGCGTCAAGAGAAAGAACGCACACCGGCCATGCACACAAGCGTTCTGTTCACAAGTCTGAGGTAACATACAAGCTTTGTTTTTAAAAAACACCCGCCGACTCGATTGATCGCACTGAGGCAGACGATTCTCTCCGCCCCAGATTTCAGCCACCATCACACCCAGTTACCTTGCAAAGTGTAGCGCCCAGCCGCCGTCTCCCATGGCTCATTTGTTTAAGGTGCTGGATAGTTGGCGTCAGCGGCTAACGGTCATGGGTTCGATCCCCAGTAGGGTATCGAAGGAATGCGAACCTCTGACGACACCCAAAAGGGCGAAACGCGTCTGGTGCTTTTCCGGATTGTGGTTAAGCTATGTGGCTTGTGGGCTGCTGAGACGAATACAAAACACGATTTGCAGACGACTGAGAACACAGCACCGCAGCCAGGTAGCAAGATCGTGTAAAGAGATAACCAATAATCTGGCAATAGTAATAACAATAATGGATAATAATAATAATAGTAATAATAATAACCAGGTGCTTCCTACCGAAGAAAATGATGCATCAATGAGAGGTATTTTCAGTGGATCCCCTCGTAGTTTTCGCCAACTCGACCTCGGCTTATCGAACCGAGTTGGTTATAACTTTATGCCATTTTGAGTGCCACGCTAACCAAGTAGGCAGAAGTCCCAAAATCATGGTTCCCTGACCTAATGAGCAAAGGGTTCGTGATAGGATGACAACATTTTCTGTAGAAATGGCCCACTACATAAAGCACTTGAGCTCAGGGACTATGTTGATAATCATGATCCGGGTAGTGGATTAGGTACAATCATAACCAGACCATGGTAAAAAAATTAATCCAGCATCAGACGTAGTGTAGTCTTGAAAAGGTAGTCCAATATATTGTGCGCAGAGCTGCCACAATTCACTGCTGCGATCATTCGGCTTTTACATTCGCTACTGACCATTCTTCCGTGGTCTACAGTAGAATGCACGGAGACAGAAGCAAAAAATCAGTTCGGTCAGGTGTACAATGTCAACACAATGCCCAAGATAACCTCCTCTGAGGAGAGTTAATCAGACCAGATTACCTAATAAATTGAAATGCGTTCAAAGCTTGTATTTTAAGAGAAATCAATGGTCATCATCACCAACAGCAGTACATAAGCCATCCTAACTGCTGCTTTGTTGACATACAACCATAACCACCTACGGTACGAAGAGGGATAAAAGGGAAACTTCCTGGAAAACCCAAATGCCCTAAGCAAACAGTCAGGGTCAAGGTGCGTACACTTTTTGTTACCGTCACAAACAACTTACCATAGGAAAAAGATAAGGCGGCATCAGGGAGACACTTTGCTTCCACGCTTTTACTAACCCGCGTCATTATTCCGCAGATAACAGCACCACATATTAAACAGACAGTCCCACGAGCGACGAGTTTACGGAACAATGTGGCCTATGTCGGCAGGGAATAATTAACATACGGAACAGGTTGCTACGGAACTAAGGGACCATGTTACGGAACTAGGCGAACATTTTAAGGAACAGTGGCATGGTATTACGCAACAGTGGCATGATTTTACGGAACAATGAAACGATTTCGCAACTGTGCTACGATTTTACGGAACTATGCGGCAATATACCTGGGACAAACACTTACCATTAGACGGAACTGTGCGACGATTGTACACTAGTGTAGTGCGGAGCGCCTCATTAAACCAGTGTTTGAGTACCGCCTCCGCTAGGGATCCCGAAATATTGGCCGGCCTATTGGCGACAGATAGAGGAATAGTGGTCTGACACATTCTAATGAATGACCATCTGGAACACTATTAGATAACATGCATGTCATCCTTATCTATGTCTACTCACTGGCTGGCTTGCCGAACAACCTCCTCGTGGTGCCAGCTGGGTGGATCGGGATTTTCCCGTTCCAGCAAATGGTTCGGCGGCAGTGTTCCAGGACGTGGTGGGTTTTCACCTGGCAAGCGTTCACCCTATAAAAAGCCACATATGTCCGTTTAACAACACTGTGACGTGGCGGACGTGACTCGCCACTAAATAAAGTTACTGCCCCTTGCTTCATTCTGGCGAAGCATTGTATTCCAGCAAGTTGATGCTGTAATTTCGAGGAGCATTGGGCCCCTGTTTGGCAAAGGAACAAACGAAAGACGTATGAACTGATCAATCAGTCACCGGCTCCCAATGGGCGTGATTCCTTGAATTCGCTCCGCTGCCTTACGGACAGGCTATTCAGAGAAAGGCTCGGGGTGGTGTCCCCTAAGTCAACACCCTACTTCGGCTTGGGCAACCGGGTAGTATTTCGCCCTCTGACGAAACCGTGCACATTGTTGCGTTGTGTTGTGTTTTCTTTTACTATTTCTGTACCTTGTTTTGAGTTCCATGGTTTCCGATGGTGCAATGTCTATTCATAGACTGTTGCAAATATATATATATATATATATATATATATATATATATATATATATGTCTACTCACTGTATGATGCCGAACATATTATTATTAACGTGTATCATAGTTTCCTTACAATAGTTTAGATTTCTTAAACCCAACATAACCATGACAGTCTTCTGCTTGTAAATCGTGTAATCTGTCTACCGTTCTAGTTCCAACATGTCCCTTCTAGACTCGTCCAAATACTGCGGAGAAATATTCCTGTGCGCCTAGCTACTTGGTGTATTGATTGCGTACTGCTACATGACGAAACGAACTAGCTGAAGCCACTCCCGACTATAGACCACACCGTGTGCCGAGTATATGCAAGCATATGACTGACAAAAATTGCTGCCTTGTAATATCTTTGCGAATTACCAATCAACATGTGATTGACACTGTATTTCTAAAGGGTCTGAGCGACCATGTTACATGAGGCGTCCACCACGCGTCCCTTTTTCCATTTATCTGTATCATCAAATGATTTGCAAAACCCTTGTACAATTCGATCGGACCAACATACTGGGCCGTGTCTCACACAGTCGAGAAATAAACGAATTTATTTATTTATGTAAAACATTATTCTCTGCTTCGGGAAAAGCCGTTTACAGGCAGTCTGTTGGGTCAGCTCTCACAGGGTAAGCAAAAGGAGCAGCGCTGGGCGGCGCTTGTCAGGTTGCTGTTAAGAAAAGGTTGTTCTTTATAAAGTACTGTGTAGTTACAACCATCCATTTGCGAGCGCTAGCAGTCCGATGCATGAATGCATAGGCAATCGTCCCAGATCGGCTGAGCGAACCGTTTATGGCCTTAATGAACAGACATAAGCTATTTCCAATGAACAGTGAATTAAGAACACTAGACGTTCATGCACCACTAAATGCCATCCTGAGGCAGATTAGCGTTAAACCGGAACAAAATAAATAAATAAATAAATTTGTATATTTACCGACGGACGGTACACGGCCCCATAACGAAAATCCTAATTCCACTTTGGGGGGCTCAACTACTTCTTCCACTGAGCAGTTGCGGTGGATCCGCCATATTATGTCGCTGACTAATTTCGTAATACGAATATGTCGTTGTCGCTCAGACCTGGCGTTACGCTCTGTTATTCTCTACGAAACGAATCGACCGTAACCATAGCTGCATATGTTCCCAGATTAGACACAACCGCAAAATATCAAATGATCGTTCTTCCATTCCCTCGGAACCAGAGATAAGCTGGAGAGTTCAGTAGCGGCTTGAGTATGCCAGCTAGGAAGGAGTACATGATTTGGAAATCGTAGCTAGGAAACCGGAGACAATGACGGTTAATGCGCACCGGATGGAATGTTTTGCACCCATTACTGAGGGTCATGAGAGAAAAATGATAAAACGATCAGTTTATAGAGTACGCATGCAACAACTTTCCTCCTCGATACTGGCGTCTAGAATCCGATAGATTCAGTAGCATATAAGAAGCTGCTTTCTTATCTCCATTTCGAGAAAAGGTGACATAGTGAGACGTATCGATCCGAATTCGTCTAAATTTAGTTTGCTTACCGTTAACGGATCTGATTTGAATTCACACCCGGCTTAATGTTCCGAACAGGCCACCTTTATAGGAATGGCCTCGAAAACACACAAGGCTATCATCTAGTATGATTAATTAATTTAATAGGTACAGATGGTCTTGCTGCAATGGAGACGGAAGATCGCAGTATAAAATCGTACAGCGGACAAGGTCGCAAAAAAACAGGTGTGATAAAACCAGGAATGCACATACTTGGAGTGCTTTCATCAAAGAGAGAACGCGGGTGACGATCAGCTGGTTTTCTCACCTTCAGCGGAGTGGTGGGGCCAGATGATGCACTAGAACATAGGAATGGAATGCGTAAACCAGGGGAAAGAGTGAAGTAAGCGCGTATAAAAGTATAAACACCAACCGAGTAGACTGTGGATAGCACTACCACTAGCTTTGGAAAGGTATGCGATGTAAAAAGCAAACTCGTCCGTGCCATGGTTTATCTTCTGAGCAAAGCATCAGAAAGCAAGGGGCAACCCACATTGACTAGAAGCCAAAAAAGGGAAAAGTTGAAAAAACGAAGTTAGCGTTGATGTCGGCGATCGTAAACGAAGTTGTTCGGATAGTATGGATCGATAATGATGAGCGAAAAGAAGCCAATTGACGGAACGGAGAGATGGGTCTTCATTTGCGTAAAATCATTAACACGTAAAAATGAGCATATCATGAAGGCGTAGGACCCGAGTACAGTGTCTCAAGATTCCTTCTAATAAAGCACAAGAAAGTGCAGCAGCCAAAGAGTGGATGATGTGGGGTAAACGGGTGTGTACAGGTCGCGCAGTCGTCTAGACCCGGGACAGGAACAGGAAACTGAACAACTCCTTATCCGTTAAAACACGAATCAACCGCTCATGTTGTTGGGACAGCAAAAGTCATATAGCCTGGTTGCTCAACCAGAGAGGTTACACTAAGTAGTCATGATGACATCGTGCCCCAGCGATGGAAGCCCAAGTTCTCCAACCAAGTTCGCGGTGGGTGCAAGGTGTAACATTATATCGCAGCTGACTTACAACTGAGCTCCCAAGCAGCCACGTTTATCCAGCGTTACATTATGGTGCTAAGGCCGAGATACCAGTTTGAATAAAGTAAGTGCTATCAGTGGGTGATAAGAGAATGAAGAGAAATGAAATGTTACAGAGGATGGATAAGTACTACGAAGCATCATGAGATTTTATTGTTCAGAAAAAAGGAAAACAGAGACAAAATATTCAGTGATAACTAAAGAAAAATGATGAGCAGATTCGAAGTTAAGGTCGTACTAGCAATCTCTCAGCTGGAGGGGCAGTGATGTCCGTATGACGAGAAAATTCGGATAAACGTAAAAGAGCGAAGAAACAACATTTAGTTGCTGGACAAACCTACTGCGTGAGAAGACATAATAAGAAAAAGAACGGCCCAGAAAGACAAGGATCAGAGTCGGGCTTCAACTTTGCCTTCCACACGTTAGGAATTGGTGCACAAGTAGAGAACGAAAAGCCTAATATCGTGACCGAAAAGACAAGCCCCCTGCCTCACAACCAGGATGTCACCGAGTCGAGCCTGCTTAGGGGACTGTGCGGCCCTCGCATTATCTTTACCCTTCGCGCGACTGGTTGTGGTTGCGTGACAGCGAACCTTCGGTACGGTGTATAGGCGAAATGCTGATGTCTTTTTTCTCTGGTTTCAAGTAATAAGCACGCTCGTAGATTACGGTGAGGATGGTAAAATGTTCCCTGAGCTGGGCGGGTGGTTTGCGGTCGCTTCGTTCCCAGACAAACAGATCTGTAGAATGCCAAGAAACTGAATGCAAAAGAAACTTTATGTTCCACTCGTAGTACAGAGAAAGACTTCAGCAGACCTTTGGATTCACAACAAGAACCATCGGAGGACTTTCATCAGCAGCGTCGGAAGAGAAAGCAAGATTTATCACGAACTCTGAGAAACACTCAGAAAGAAAATGTATTTGTTGACGTAACTAGGCGCATCGAGGTGAATCCCGACTGTGCTCATCATGAGGCAGGGATCACAAGCACCATGGTTTGGAAAAACATCAGCAATTCACCAATACAGCAGCTAGACAAAGAAGATGCCCAAAGTCTTAATATCGATAGGCTCAGTAGGTGACGCAATAAGAGTAGGGGGAAATGGTTATCGAGAGCCCGATAGCAGTGTCACAAACAGAACTCGATGTGCCAATGACCCACAAGGACAGGCGATCCAGGGGTAGGTAATCTGCTACCACCTACTGACAGCTTGAACCCACTATAAGCCGGCGCCAACAGAAGCCGTAAAACCACAAAAAGTGCGGCAGCAACGCATGAGTCTCATAGATCACCCTCCTACAAGCACAACATGAAGCGATATGCTGAACAGATTAAAACTAAAAGCAAATATCCACTGGATACTCCTAGCCATCATCTGGTACCACGCTGTAGTCATTGGCAATGCAATTATAATGAAAGGAATTTTGTCAAGTGGGTAACGCCACTTCCTACATGTGTGTTCCACCACGCCATCTCTAACCACAATCTCCTTTTAGTAGATTTGGGAATGGAATGCGACCATTCCCACTCTATACAAACCTGGCCGAAGCCAACTACATGCTCCCATTATTACTGCAATTTCGTCAGATGACCAGATACGTTCAGCGTCAAGTCAACAGCAAATTAGGCTTGACACCACAACCCCACCTTTCACCCACCTATACCGGCGATCACAGATGGCACACCACCCCTACCCATCTGACCAAGAGTATTAGACTCGTGCTCACTGCTCTCACACATATTTACCGCGCAAGTAATGCGCGATTACATTGACACACAAAATTTTAACAGAGCAAAAACAATGAACATTTCTGCGGAATAATCTGAACTCAGTATATTTCGCGTATTCTCTTCACCCGCTTACATACCATGAGCTAAAAGCGCTCCCTGGTTCGTGCATCTTTTGTGAGAGCCCGCCATATCTATTCAAAGGAAATGATTGAGGAAGTACTATAGGGTATAGCGTCCACTCTTAGTGAAAATGGGTACCCTGCCAAGTTCATTGCTAGGTATGGGGAGAAAACCAAGGCACATGAAGAGCGAACTGAAGCTTCAAAGAGGAAGGTATTCACTGCACTGCCTTACAAAGGGAAGAAAATGAGACGTTTCTACTATCGCTTACGTTATGCCATAAAGAGATGTTACTATACGACTGAGCTTGTTGTTCCACAGAACAAAAAAGCTACTACATGAATCCAATTTGGACAGGCCTCACCACTCTATTGTCACCGTCTCATGTGTTTACCAGTTTAACTGTACTTGCGGTAGCATGTACATTGGCCGGACAGAGAGGAGGTTGTCCACTCGGATTTCAGAACACGTCCCGCGGAACCTTGCTCTCCGTGGCGCAACATTACCTGACAGTTCCGTTGCCCGGCACTTATTCGACTGCTCGATGTACCAGAATCCCCACGAAGCATTCAAGGTCATCAACAGACAGAGTAACACCAAGTTGTTGCGTTTTGCTGAGACTTCCGCCATCCGGCGTTTGAAGCCGAACCTATGTAAACAAGTTGACTTTGTGACCAATCTCGATTTGCCTTGGTGAGGCAAGACAGGCTATCCAACGCAACTAACCAACGATTTCTGGTACTGACCGTTTGAAATTCACCCACTGTATCTAAGCGGCTGAAGAAAATACACGAAATATACTGAATTCAGATTATTTCTCAGAAATGTTCGTTGTTCTTGCTCTGTTAAAATTTTTGTAGGGAAGTGGTTATATGTCACAAAATAGTGACGCGAAGAACACGGATACTACATTCAGTGTTTGCAGTATATTTTATTAATGCCACTGTACAATGCAAGAAAATGAAAGCAATCCTCAGTACCGAAACGTGGTGCATCTATGATATATTAGACTCTAATGATTCCTAATTATGATCTATTTGGAAAAGATCGCTGTAAATGAAAAGATAGAGGATGTATGGTATACCAACATGACACATCTACTGCTTGAATATCTACAAGTAGTAAATGTTCCATGGGCCACATGTTACATTTTACTTGGATGCATTTTGATCCACCGACTTCAACAACTAGGAGTGCTTTCCGCATTAATCCAGCTGTCGGATTTGCATCTGATGTCATACAGACAAAAAATAATTGCAGGTCATCCCAGCCATCGTCGTCTATACACACAGCCGTCCTTTCTTCGGTCAGAGTTGGTGGTTGCACACAGTAGGTTACTATGCCAACTAGGTTGACTAATACATTTGACTTGATATTTACATTGTCTTAGAGAACTTCCCTGGTAGCGAACACAAAATGATATGCTTCACTCACACCGTTAAAATGGCCACCAAACAAATGTTTTTCCTGCTGCGTCAGGCACAGGATTAACTGGGAACACTTCTGTCAGACAGACCCATCTTCTGACTGGGATACCTACTTCTTCAACATTTGCTGCACAGCAGCGGAGCACTTCAACAACAGCTTCACTAAGTCATAACCCCTTTGCTTTTGTTGTTGGGCGGGGCCTTTAAACCGGTCGTTGCCTTTTTCGCCGAACATCATTTTTTTACATAAGCTACTGCAGATATCTGAGTTTTGCAAGATTAAGCTGACAGGTATTTTGTTCAATCAACTTCCAAAGTCACTGAGACATCTATTCACCCACTTTTGAATAGAAAGGCTGAGATATCGCGCCCGATGTTCGAAAAAGTTTATATCAATTGAAATGAATTCTGAAGAAAGGTGTTGACGAAAGCCTTTCCGTTTTGAATGGATCCAAATCCCGAAGACTGATTTCAGCCTTTTGGGATCGTTGCTTGATCGATCCATGATAGTGCATCCTTCATATTGTTCGACCCATTTGCAAACTTGGCGTTATTAATGCTAACCCTTTAATAAATTCACAGTTGATAATGTAGAATGCTGAAGATGCACCCATTTGGGCAAATAAAGCTTATACTCACTTGACTTGCTCCACAAGAAGAACGGGGCAGTCATGTTCAAAAATATGCAGCCGCAAGTTCAAGTAGTCAGAAATGAAGGAAATGGATGGGGCGCTACAAAAGAGATTTACAATGATTCTACAAATGCACCGATACACCGCCGAAGTCAAGCACTCCCAGTCGATGAGAATGCATGAAGATCTATGACCTTACAAGCAGCACGTAAGGCAAAATAGGCCGTCAAAATTCTGTGCCGCAGAACCGACAACTGCTCCTCATTGATCACTGAACTGGTCGACGAAGAAGGCCACTGATTCCAAGAATCAGTCGGCATTTGCGAAGCATTTAGCTCGTATTTTGTCACCTCCATGAACCTGGAGAGCGACCCTATAAATACACATTGATGCAAGAACGACTAAGGCTCTAGCTAGATTTGACATTTTTCTTCGCAATGTCCACTAGGCGATTAAATCTATTCAGCCGTCGTCCATTGTAGAAGCTGATGACATCCACTCATCCGTCATAAAACCGGGAGGGCCTGACATGTCGATGCTACTTTTAAATATCT